ATTCAAAGCTGTTTTTTGATCTTCATACATGCAAGTAACTTACTATCAGTTTGAATGTGTTACAGTCTCTCTCCCTTTTTCCAAAGCAGGCCCTTGGAGCTGAATATTTCAGAGAAAACTGAAACCCTATGGACCGCTGAGGAAAAAATCAAGCTTCTTCTTTGTTTTACCCGATATCAAACATTTTTTCATCCTCCGGACTGTCGAGAAGCCACAAAAAACAATCTCAAGAGTTAAATGGCAGTCAATAAGAAATATTACGTACCCAGCAAATGGCAGTTTTGAAACGCTCGCGCGGCCATTTTTGACTGAGCTCGCAGTATCAAGAATCAGAGTCAGTTATCAAAAACGCTTCAACTAGTCTGGGGCAATGGCTTCAGAATTTAGTGGTCACAGGCATCAGGCTCTAAGGACGGTTTGTTTATGTAGTATTACCGTGGCATTTTTTCACCCCATATACTTTTGAACAAACTGGAAAGTTTACAACACGCATGCCAGTTTATAGAAAATTCCTAATGTAGCAACAAAGCGCCTCTTTTATCATTTGACGAAGTTCATTTTAATCTGTCCTTATTGCGATAAAATAAGTTTGTGAAATCTGTGATCTCTCACTTTCACCATGCGGCTTGAGAAAAGCTTTATCTGTGCCCATAACAAAGTTGTGTTTTTCTGACCGCTTTGCTTTTCAAACGGATTTGCAGAGGATTTGTTGGAGAATATTGATGCTTTACTCCTTTTTGTGGCAAAGATGTCAACATTTGGACGTTGTTGTTCACATGAAAAGCGTTTGTCGTCACAATTCACATTTTTGCTTCATGATCGCTGCTTGCATGAATGTTTAGCGTTGGGGTTGGTGTTTTCAAAGCATTGCCAAGATCTGCTGTAACAGACCTTGACTGTACAGTCAAAGATCTAAGAGAATTTTTTTATTATTATCTTTCCCGAAAACCTGAACTAATGAAAACTTGTTGAAGAGTGCTGAGTGCCAATAAACCTCACACTCCATCAGCCCATTTTCAGGCGGGTGATGCATTTACGACCACAAGCAACCAGAATCAATAGTTTTTGACCGTTTTACAGTTTAGTGAGTTAAACGCTTTGTCAACAACAGGAAAAAGCACTAGTTAGGATTGCCCAACGCTTAAAAAGGTCCATTGTCACTAATAAGATGGAAAGTTGAAGTTAACTGTCGATTTATGAGGTATACTTGATATTTTACCCTGGTATTTTTACATATAAGATACCTTTATAATTTGCAAAGATATATTCGTTATAACCTAATGGAAGTTTTACCAAACTGTTAGATGCTGAAAAGGTTTGCGGCCATCAAGAATGACACCTCAACAGAGCGATCTTAGAATAGTTCTTCCCGTCATTTCAATTTCCCCAGGTGTTTCACAGTGCGGTGTCGTGTACGTGTTAAAATTTTGTATAGAGTTTTCCAGTTTGTCACTTGGAAGTAATACTTTAAACGTGGTGGTAAAATGCTCCAAATTAGCTTAGGACATTTTAAAAATAAATTAGCACAGATAATAATTCACATTCCAGTTGGCTCGTATTAGGTTTTACACTAGGGCTTTCATTGAAATGTTATTTGCATATAAATAAATCACTGGATAACTTATTTTCCGATTAGTAGGCTATTGGTGAAAAAAGCTGATTTGCTTACTGTGGACATAAACGTACCGAAAAAGCAGACATATCCAGAGCTCAGCCGTCTATAAGGTTTCAACCTTGTCCTTTCAAAAGTGCATAAAATTTCAATGTCTAAATGATCTATCTCGCATACTTCCCGCTTGTCGTTGAGAGTACCAAATATACATGCTTTAATTGCTTAGAGGCAACCGTGCAACCATGTCTTCGTTTATCTGAAGCGCAAAATCACTCTTTTAGCAGAGCATGCCGTCAGTAAAATTGTCTATTGGGGCTCCGTAGTCGTTAAAAACATCAAACTGTTCAACACAACATTCATGAAATTCAAAACTTGTTTATTGAACCTAAGCAACACTGTTACACCGTGTCTTCCGAATCTCTTTATTTGTTTCATTGTCTTTGTTCCACTTTCTTCCATAACACCTTGAGCACATCTCGAGCGCATGACCGCCCCCTTTAAGATTAACTTTAAGTTCCTATGTATAGTAGGAAACATTTTGTTCTACGCCAGACCCTTTGTGATGTCATTCTGTGTGCTCACTCTTCCGGGATCAGCGTTCCTTTTGCTTTTGCACAGCGATGATGAAACAAGCGTTTGAACACTGCGACGGTTTTGGCGTATACCATTTAAGCCGCAAGACCGTCATATAATTCTCATATCCGTGGTAACAGTTGGTTGATATTATATGGTACCACCGTTCCCCATAAATGCAGGTTGTACGTATTAGAAAAAGTACAAGGTTCTGTGTACCTCTGATTTGAGGCGTAGAACATAAAGGGCACGTCTCCCCTGCAGCAATCACTTTTTGGCATGAAGGACTTCTTAGCTTGACATTTCTGCAGACAAACTGACCTGAGACCCACGTGACTATACGCATTCTTATCCGCTACAAGTGTTTCGAAGCATTTTGTTTTTGTTTGTAGCTTGGCATACCAAAAAGCGACTGGTGTCGTATTTTGGAGGTTTTCCAGAGCACTTTGTGATCACTTTTGGTCCTGTGGGTTTTGCTCATGCCGCAAGAGTGAAATCATGCAAGCATTCCGTAGTCCAGGTTAATCTACAACATAGGTGTGCACTTTCCCCCCTCGCCCTCGGCGATCAGCTCTCTTGAAATACTGGCTACCCCCCTAAAGTTACCGCTACCAGCCAGTGTTAGCAAAACTGATGTCCTCTAAACACCTGCTGGGATGCTACCTTTTTACGTCGCCTAGCGCAAACACTTAATTTACGGAAAAGAAACCCATCTCTTTTATGCTCTGACGTAAGTAAGACTTAGTCAAAAATCTGGCACCACGCTAGCTAGTGTTTAGTTTAACTCTCTTTGATAACGGCGGCCTGTTGGCTCCTCTGCATACCCTTTCCAAACACTCGGATTGTCACAAATTAATGGCACTGTCTAGTGAGTTCAGCGAGATGCTGTAATAATAATAATAATAATAATAATAATAATAATAATAGTTTAGCTGTAGCACCCTTTCTCGGCCTAGCTACCATGCCACTCGAAGGAGGCACGAGGGCCTGGATACTGCCAGGTTCCCCAAGCCTAGACAGGCAGAGAGAGAGGCAGAGATCGGGTTCGAACCAGGGACCTTCTGGTCTATAAATTCGCGCTCTAACCACTGAGACATCTCGCCCCGAGAGATCATCTGCGATGCTGTACATGCGTTAAGAATGTAAGCTACTTTGTTACTATAGCCTCAAATATGTGCAACCGGTGATTTTTTCCTTATTGCTCCTCCGAAAAATCTGCAGATCCGTGACAGGTTGTCTCCCTTGGCATTCCAGCTTTCGTCCTTGCGCGACATGTGCAAATGGAAACAAATGTGGTAATTCCTGATTTTTCTTTTAACGACCTTGAATAAGAATACTTGATTGATCTGATGATGTCTCTGTTCAAGCGTTTAAGGCTTTATATGAAGGATTCACCTCCGATAGGAGAGTCCTTCTATTTCATCTACCATTCGGGTTACCGGTTTTGTACTTGCTGCAGGTTCTCCTCGTCTTTGGTGCATGGAAAGCACGCAGGATGTCTGTCCTCTATTGCTCCCCTCGTTGGGCACGCTAAACAGCTTAGGGCTCAAGTGCACTTGGAGCTGCATTGTGCGGTTAAGCACCCACAGTGCCTCAAGTCTCCATCGCCTCTCCTAAGGAACTGCATGAGTGCGTTTTCAGGTTGGCCGGAATGAAGAATCTTGGGTTTCGCTCCATCCACACCACCATAGCAACCTCACTTCCTACACAGTATTTATAACTTCCGTGCACAGTCAACCAAAATGCGCCTGGATTTTTCTAACGCCAACAGGCAGTTTAAATTCATCACACTGGTCGATCGGCTTGCTTAGACCGGTCTGTAATTCCACTCGTTCTCAGTGCGGTTATCTCCGTCTACAGCTTTTACCTGTTCTTAAATAACGGACCACTCAAACAAAGTTGATTTGGAACCGAGCACCTGACATGGGCAACATCGTGGAATGAAAAATGATCCCTTCGGTTGCCATGACGACCCCCGCCGAATCTCACTTTCACCTACGTTGCGCAGCACGGGATTCCATCCACTTGTACAGCAGTACACGGATTCCGGCTAACTGGAGTACACGTAGCAGCGTTAGGAGATCCAAAGAGGAGAAGGTCTTTTCCACGCCAATAAAGAAAATGTGCATGTTCTTGCATCCATACAGGAATGATCATTTCACAGCAAGCTACATGAGCCGTCAACCGGTTTTCAGATCATGCCGCTATGACCACAAATTATGTTGTTTTGAATCAGGTGTCCATCCTTGAAAGAGGCACTTAAAGTACCCGTATGACTATTTGATTGTCTTGAATACTACTAACTCCGAAGTAAAACTCTCATCCACAACCACCAGTTCCGGTCGCCGTCTTCACCTCCTCTCCTAATATCATATGTTTCGCCTGAATATAATGATACTGGGACAAAACCGACTTCCTCCATTCCGTGAAATGAAATTTCAGATTATTAATGTTCATACCCTATATGAGGGGAAACCTTGTTATAGATTCAGCCGACAATTATCATGTACAAGATAGAATAATACACACATACAAAAGGTATGAGTAATGCTTGGACCGTTCAGTCCTGGCCGAGGGGGTATCTCCACGACGCAGTGATTTCCGAAAAATTCGTTTTCCCGGGGATTTCGTTATAACCTTTCATCCTTTTTAGCCAGCTTAAACAAGATACTCAAATGATAGCAGGGCACGTATTAACCATTTCAGAACCCAATATCACTTGCAAGTTATCAACTACGTTTTGTTTCACTTCGTCAGCTTCTTCAAACTAAGTGATCCAGTCGCCAGCCCTCGAACTCCGTCAGTCAGTGAGTACCCCGGTTCGGATTCACGGATTGATACACAGGATGGAGGAATTTGCTCAAGTTTCCCGTGACTGTTTTGTTCTTGTCGGTCAGTGGCTGTCGTTCACCTGAAAGGCACAAGTGAAAAAGGGGTGTGGCACTGCTCTTCATGTTCTCAGTGCGAGGCAGCTCTGGCCAGCGCGAGGATTCGCATAAATAGTTGTCTAATAGTGCTTTGGACTGGGTTCTAGAAGGAGCGTGGTCTGAGGGAGGTCATTCCGCGCACCTAATACCCGAAATGAGAAAAAAATTTGTCTAATGAACTTGACTGTGCCAAAACGGCTGATGTCACATTTTTCAAGGGTAATGATTTACGACCCGCAACAGGAATAGTGCTTTCATCAAATGGCAAACGAATGGTCACAATTCTCGATTTGGATGATCTCTCTTGTCATCGGAGACACATTGACCAGGTTGAGTTCAATACCAGAGGTCAGTCTGTTAACGGCACTCCTGCTGTTTCAAATACTAATGAGTCCTTTGTAGATGATCTTGTGGTATCCGAACAAAATGCTGTATCTGAAGAACGTACTACCTGTGAAGATTCTGAAGTTTCCATTCCGAGAAGATCCGAAAGATTGCGGTCAAGACCACCACTGGACTATAAACACCCGCACGCTCATTCAAGGTGTGGCGGATGTGATGAACATGACTGATGCTCTATTCATTGCTCTATTCCTTATTCTCTTGTTTTAATATTCCATATGCTGTACATATTCGCCAATTCGAATACATACGTGCTGGTTGCCACTCTTCGCTGAATTCTGGATTNAGCTGCAAGAACATCTGGGAGGTCGTTGACGTAGATCAGAAACAGCACTGGACGGAGCCCTGAGGATCTCCAATGGACACCAGCACTGGAGAAGAGTAAGCCGAGCCTATTCTCACTCGGAATGTTCTGCCTGCTAGGAGCGCCTTGATCCAGTGAAGGATTTTCTCTTAAACCCCGTAAGACTCGAGTTTTTGAAGCAGCGAAACGTGTGGGACCCTATCAAATGCTTTCGTGAAATCGAAAAATGTGGCATTCGATATGAGTCCTTCGTTCTTGGCTTGGATTAAGCTGTCCATAAACACGAGCATGTTTGTCACGCAAGAACGGTTTGGGAGAAATCCGTGTTGAGCTGGAGACATCAGGTTGCTGGATGTAAGTTGATCTAGGATAGTCCGCTTCAGAGTGCATTCCATCACTTTGCACGTCACGCTAGCGAGGCATCAGATCAACTCTTAGAAAGCAGATGATACTCGGTACCATATATCGTATCGTTCTTCTTCAAGGGTCTATTTGGATTTATTGTCCATGAGCCAGTCTTCGCCATTGACCAACCCAACACGAAGTTTCCGGACTATAGATACTTTGACGCCTCAGATATCAGCCAACTCCTGAACCGGGTAAATTGTAGACTAGGGCAGCGGAAGGTGGGAACCCATTAGTTATAATTTTCTGTGAGCCTGTTGAGCGGTTAATCGCATGACCCACTAACAGATATCTGAGTTGGTTGTAATAGGTCCCGTGGTTACACAAAAGTGAGTGTGGAAGGTCGGTATCTTGGATCCGACGCGCCTAGATAACCCGGAACATGTGGTCTAAAATAAGGAACAAACAACTACCTATCACATGTTTTTGAGTTAAGCAAATTTATTAGCTGTGTCTGAGTGTAACACAAAATGCATAGGCACGAACTCCCCGGATTGCACACACACGCATGAACTTAGTAATCCCTAGGACGTCAAATTTTGGTGAAGTTGGTTGTTGGGCTGCCCCACACAGGATGGTTGCTTTGGTAGGGGGAGCTACACATCGACGAGTGGCTGTAAAAAACACGCGGCCAAAGTGTGCATAAGCAGGTTGAAAACAAGCGTGAAAAAGCGAGGTACCAAATATTTATCCGCTACCGAGGCACTATAAGCGTTAGGTGACCGCATGAAAAATACATGTACGAGGGAGCCTGGCCAACATATAGGTTAAGAAATGTGCAGGACACGTGAAGAGCCATTTACTGCTAGATGAAATATCTGGCAATACAGTGAGCATCGTGTGGAAGTATATGAGGCGAAACTTCTTTCGGTGTATATTACATGATGGTTGCGGGCATATTAGGTAAACCGAAAAAGACTTGGATATGTCCAACCCAGGTGGATATATTTAGCGTGAAATAAATTTATAGAAAGTTGTTTTAAGCCGGCAGCCGGGGCACTGCTGGCAGAAATAACCGGGCAAACAGCGAGTGGTTAGGTGGGCATGCAGCGGAAAAACGCGATGGACCAGTGGACAGCAGTGGTGAGACGTTGAAATCCTGTGCCCATATAAACAGAGCCACCGGTCGTTGATGGAAATCTGTTGTTCTGAGGGAAACCAGGAGCAAGTAGACAACTTAGTGTCCAATTAAATGAGATAAATAGGCACACGCCTCAAGAGTACAGACTGGCAGAACAGACTGCATGATTGTTTGGATACCGGAACGTAATAAGAACGGCACTATGGACATGCAGTGTAAAATCCTGGTCACGGCAAGGACCTTATTACGAACATGCATCGTTGGAAGCTCCATCACGCCACAGCTTACTGGTGGAAATTTGTACAAGTGTTCGTCAGTCAAGATCAATCAGACGAATCGGCAAAATAATCCACGGTTTAGGCCACAGAAAATCACTGCTCTTGTGGTTATTTTAATCATTGGGTGAGGTGTGCCTCCCTTCGGTTTAGTCGGCTGTAATCTGTGTCGGTTGAACAGCTCTCGCTTTTGCAAAACGAACAGCGACAAGTCCAAGGTAATTCATCGATCTGATAACGAATTACAAACGGAATAGCTGGGGAGCATTTGCAACTATGGGGTTAAACCCAGCCTCATGAGACATTCTGGGGCAACTCAGGAGCTCCAGCAGCACCTGGGACATCAACAGAAAAGTTCGGTAACAATCGGTATATTTCCCTCTGGACAGCGTTTGGCTTCTGATACAAAAGCGGTCCAACCGACTTCTCGCGTGGTTAAGGCAGACCTACCTAGAGTGCACTTAGAGGCTTTTGACGGCAGCCCAAGGTGTTATTGGGGATTTATTCAACAGTTCAAATATTACAGAGGATAGAGTGCAAGATAGCGGACAGAGGATGCTATATCTGATTCATTACTGTAGTGTCCAGCGAAGGAAGGCGTGGCTGAATGCGTAATGTTGCCTCCTGAGATTGCTTACGGTAGAGCAAGAGAAATACTTAAGGGTCACTTTGGGAGGGAACATACGTTGGCCAGAGCCATACTGGACGATTTGTTCAAGAAACTGAAATCGTTGCTTAATGATGCAGATTCACTGTCTCGTTTATCGATAAGTCTTCTAAACTGTCACTTTGCTCTGAGTCGGATGAATCATACTAGTGACATGAATTCGGCCTCGACCATAGAGCGAATTGTCCTCACGTCATCGAAGGATGATCGCAGAAACTGTGGACAACCTTGGAAAAAAGATAGTTTTCTCTGATCTATGCAACTTTGTTTCTCAAGAAGCCCGAATCGCTCGCAGCCGCTATGGTATGATTACCACAACCTCAGAATACCATCGTCCCCGAACGCAGCATCACCTGGTAGGCAACGAAAGGCGCCATAATATATTTGCCGTTCAGAAGGGAACCGATGTCTTGTGCCCTTTTTGCGACAGAGGACCCGGGCTGGCGCAATGTCACACGTTTACTGATCTGTCAGCGCAAGCAAGACGGCGTGTGGCGAGAAGGAAGCGGTTGTTTTGTATGCCTAAAACCAGGCCATACCAGTAGCAAATGCGATTCTCCTAAGAAGTGTGGTATAGGGAGCTGCTTGGGGTCTCACCATCATCTGTTGCATGTAATGCCGGATGCCAAAAAAACCACACTTGTTGGTTTGTGCAACGAGACATCTCAGACGGAATCAGGAACCTGCCTTGGCGTCGTACTAGTTCGTGTGGATGGTCCGCAAAACAGCGTTTTCACGTACGCATTGTTGGATAGTAGGTCGGACGTAACATTGGCTACGAAGGACTTGCTTGATGGGGTTGGTCTGGCTGGCACTCCAACAACTTTGAATTTATCGACAGTGAGTGGGACCTCTATTGTAGAGACTGTAAGTCTCAGAATCGAGTTTGAATTGGTAGATTCAGGTGAGACCGTAGAGGCTGAACCAGCCTTTGCAATACGCTTTCTGCTCATCAGCCCACCGGTCTTGATCCCAACGAAGATAGCTAGCCAATATGATCACTTGAAGGATACTACCTTTGTGGAGCTTCCAGATAAGCTTGTGAGAATATTGATAGAAGACAAAAGGAACCTTACGCTGTAAAGACGCCTTTGGGTTGGAGTCTACTTGATCCATTGTCCACAGGACATTGTGTCCGGAGACACGTTCACCATGTAAGTGTGAATGATGATGACATAAGTGCTCATCTAAAGGCTCTGTATGAGGCCGGTTTCAACGATTTAGAGACTCCGGGCGTATGCCAAAGTGCCGAAGACAAAGAAGCGTTTCGAATTATTGAGGAGTCTTCAGTGTTCAAGAATGGTCATTACGAAGTGCCATTACAGTGGAGAACGGCCAAAAGACTTCCTGACAACTATCGTCTACCCCACTCTTGATTGCAATATATGAAAAGGCGTTTCGCAAAGGATCTGACTTTGTTGTCGCGATACAAAGAACGCATGTAGGATAACATCATTAAATGCTACCTCGAACCTGTACCCACTCATCAATCGAAATTAGGGGATGAAAGGTAGTGGTATTTACCTCATCATCCCGTTTTGAACCCGAAGAAACCAGAAAAGCTGCGAGTCGTCTTAGATTGCACGGCCACGTTTGAGGGTGTATCCCTGAACGATAGATTGTATCAAGGTCCCGACACCACTGCAAATTTGTTGGGAGTTCTTTTACGCTTCCGGAGTGATTACGTAGCTGTGGCTGCAGATATTTCCGAAGTGTTCATGCAACTAAAGGTTCCCGAAGGCGACAGGGTTGCATTACGTGTGTTATGGTGGGCCTCGGAAGACTTGATCGGTGAGCCCCAGCCATTTCAAATGACATCCCATCCATTTGGCGCCACGTCCTCACCGTTTTGTGCCAATTTTGGCTTGAGAAGTACAATCTCAGACTGGGGATCGAATTGCATGATCAAAGTGAAACAATCAGTGGATAGATAATTCTACGTTGATGATTGTTTAGCATCACTTCCGGA